TGTGTCATTATTTACTCTTTAAAGGGTTGCGAATGGAGTTAATATCCTCATTGAAGGAATAATATGTACCATTGTGTGCTCGATAAAGGGTTGATAATGAACTTATTTATTATTTATTATCTCAGTCAAGATTGATGGTGTAAACATCAATGAAAGATATAAAGAGCTTAATGATGTCAGTTCATGTTTAAAGACTGAGACTTTTGAAACAAAAAGCTTGTGAAAGCTATAAGTATTATCTCGACTTGAAGATCGAGTTTTTATTTGAAGATTTTTTTTATATACACCAGTCAGCCTACATCTAAAAATGCTTTTTTCATATGTCTATATGCATATAAGTGTCATGTTTTCATCAAACTAAAGGTTGCCTAATAATCTCTTGAAGCAGATAAGGAACCTTTTTGGACTCGAAGTCCCTTACTTCATTATCGTTGGAGCACCATTATAGAACCAGAAGTTCTATAATCGCAACATATTTGCGATGAAATTGCTAGCAAAATCTAGTGCTCCCCCCTACAAATGAAGTACTTGAATAATGATTAACATATCCTCCGGTATCTTCGAGATACAAAGACATGACATTTATGTAAGAAACCATGATACGGCTTAATAGGCTACTTGGGTACTGGCTGTTTTGTTTGATCCCCGCAATGCGAAACCCAAACTGGTTATACAATGAATTTTCCTAAATGTTCAAAATGAGGACAATAACACTTGTGTTGCACAAATGTTATATGAGCTCTAGAAGAGCCATAAGATTATTGTACACTATAGTGACAATCCAGAAGATTTGTCCAATCCATCTCTTCAAATTTTGAAATATATGTAGAACTTGAAGATTGTTATCTTCAGGGGGAGACGGGAAGTACATTTACTTGAATCAATCCGGAAGATTGAACGTAAAATCCTGAAGATTAAGTCATAAAAGACTAACAATTGCGCACTATTTGCAACACAACGGGAAGTACATTTACTTGAATCAATCCGGAAGATTGAACGTAAAATCCTGAAGATTAACTCATAAAAGACTAACAATTGCGCACTATTTGCAACGCATAAATACATAAATATCATGTACTCTTTTCCTCACTAGTTTTTCTCCCATTGGGTTTTCTAGTGTGGTTTTTAACGAGGCATGAGTATGATATAGTAATGACAATGAGGAAAAGTTGCAAAATAATTGCTTAAATGGACAAACCCCAAAATCCTGAAGATTATGCGGTTTGCGCCCTGAAGGCTTATGGTTGTACTCTTTTTCCCTTAACTAAGTTTTTCCCACAGGGTTTTCTTAAGTTAAGGTTTTTAATGAGGCGACCAAATACAATATATGTTTTTACATATATCATGTACTCTTTTCTTCAACTAGGTTTTTCCCACGTGGTTTTCCTAGTGAAGTTTTTAATGAGGCATGAATATATTTTCTATTGTACTCTTTTCTTGTCTAGGTTTTTCCCACCGGGTTTTCCTAGCAAGTTTTTTACGAGACGAAATTGTGGTCAAATAATGTCCAAGGGGGAGTGTTATAATTCATCATCATTATGGACATTATTATTGTAACGTATGTAACTGTTATACATTTATTGCATCAATTTAATACCTTTGTATTATGTATATATACTCTATACTTAGCTTGTTGTAGGGGTGTAAATGAGCCGAGCCGCTCGCGAGCCGCTCGTGAGCGGCTCGGTCAACGCTCGGCTCGAGCTCGGTCAAAATCGAGCTCGAGCCGAGCTCGAGCGGCTCGTCAAATAAACGAGCACGAGCCGAGCCTAGATACTCTAGGCTCGTGGCTCGTCGAGCCGGCTCGCGAGCCGTATAATATACAATATAATATATAATATTATATAATTAAAATATATAAAAATAATAATTAAAATTTAAAACTCAAAAGTCAAAACTTAAAAGCCCTATTGTTTTGAACATATCCGGGACGAAATATATATGTACAAGGAATCAAGGACTACTACTGTTGACTTGTGTTTTGTTGTGATTTGCAAACTTATTTTGAATGTTTTGAAGTTTGAACAAACAGACTTGTGTCTTCACTATCCTTTACTTCGTTGCGAAATTATTTTGAGTGTTTTGATTTGAAGTTTGTATTATTTATGTATGGATAAAACAGAGCAGTTTAAATTTTAAATCAAATAGGTTAAACCGTCAAATTCAAGGTTAAGATCGAGCACGCATTTGAACCCGAGCTCGAGCCTGATCTCGAGCTCGAATTCGAGCTCAAAATCAAGCTCGAACTCGAGCTCAAGATCGAGTTCGAGCTCGAGCTCGAGCAGCTCGATAATTGCCGAGCTCGAGCTCGAGCATCCAGTTACGAGCTCGATCGAGCTCGAGCTCGAGCTCGAGCATAGCTGCATTTAACGAGCTCGAGCTCGAGCATACCCATGCTCGAGCTCGGCTCGACTCGTTTACACCCCTAGCTTGTTGTAGAGGAAGATGATAATGAAGAGACTATCATCCTTTCTCCCTCATCTCTCTATTCACTATTCTATTTTTTTTCCTTTTAACAATATTGAATAAACCAGTTTAAATTACTGATAATTGACTAGGTCAATACTCAAACCAAATTCTAATCGATGAATGACAACAAAGAGATAAATCAGCTCACGTTGTATGTCTTATCGTTCACGAAAGAAGGCAACTAAACGACACCGACGACCGTTTCGTCGGTGTTTTTGGTCGGAATATGGTCGGAGTCTCGCCGGAGGTTCGACAGAACCCTAGTGACCTGTAATTATAGGTCACGAACTGATTTTTGGGCTTCAATGCTCTAAAATAATATGTTTAAAGGTTTAATTGCAACTTCTGAAAGTTTAAATGCTTAATTGACTTCTTGAGTAAAGTTCAATTACTTATTTGATATTTTTATATCTTTTAATAATTAATAATTGATTCTCACATAAAACGTAGTGAGTATAATTTTGTTTATTTTTATTTAAATTTCGGATATGGATGATATTACTATTTCTATCCAAGTTTTTTCAAAAGTTTGTTCCAAAAGAAAAAGTTTTTCAAAAGTATAAAAGCAAGCTTTGACTTTTTATGTATGAAAGAGAATCTTCTGCTTCTTCCAAATTCCAAAACAGGAAGAATTTCTGAATGTCAATTTTGAGTGGGAAGCTTCGTGCCAACTTTGTAAAAGTGTCACCTGAGCAGCACGTGCGTACTGCATTTATTAATCTGGTTTAATAGCTGTTTAAAAAAATAAAAAATAAAAAACTGGAAAATGATTTTCCGTTGCCGGGAATCGAACCCGGGTCCCCTGGGTGAAAGCCAGATATCCTAACCGCTGGACGACAACGGAACCACATTCTATAACTCTACAAGAATCATTTTACCAGTATTTGGATCAAAATAAAATAATATATTCCGTACTCCATTAAACAAAATTAATTTTAATTTTTGTTGGGTCTAGAACTTTAAGCCTTGGCGATATCACATATTATTATATTAAACAAATCAACGTTATTTGTCTGTTTTATTTATCATTTATTGATCAAATCAACTCTTTCTTTTTACTTTTTTTTTTAGTATTTTTAAATTTTTTGTTGTTCTATAGTAATTTTAATGTAATTTCTAAATATATAAATTTTATATACTAATAGTAAATTCAATATTATGAAAAAATGAATTCAAAATAACTGCAATCAAGCCTCGTTAATCGAACTAGATGTATAAAATGGGACGAATGAAGTACATTTTTTTCAAAGTTCTAGTATTAATGGGTATAGCTGTTGCTTATATATAGTAAATGGGGATACACGGAGCATATGATAATTACTAATCATTTATTATCTTTGTAGTGTACTACCGTGCTTCTTGACCTTTTGAGTCAAGAGGTAGACCCTTCCCGATCAATCAACAAAACATGAAGTGTCTTCTTAATTGTTACACCAATTTGAGTCACTTCAGCGCCAACACATGACGTAACCGATTTGACTAGCCTATGAGCAAGTACCATGTTTCTCTCGCCAGCGAGAATTTCGACTTGTGTTCCTTCCTCACACAATAAAAGCTAGCTTGTTCCACAAAGTAAGACTATGTAAGAGACGTTTCACCTAAAAATGATCCTTATTACTTCTTGACTCATCGAGTATATTCCAATCTCTTGAAATTTAAAGAAATCTTGTATATTAAGAATGAAATATATAAATTGTTAGAGCATCCATAATAGTTATGTTTTTTTTGTGGGTTTTGAGGAGTTCTGTAAGTGTGATTATGAAAGAGAAAATGGAAGGGAAGAGAGAAAAAGAGAGAAAAAAAAAACATTTTCAGCGACCAAAACGCACCCAGCGGGCGCGTGCACGGTGTGACATCCACGTGAGGCGCGCGCAACAGGAGGCTTTTTGCAACGGATCTCAATTTTCTACAAAAAAAAAAAAAAAAAAAAAAAAAAAAAAAAAAAAAAAAAAACCTTCCCTTGCTAGAGGTCCTTTCAATCCCCTCTCTTCTCCCCCTCTCTCTTCCATGTTGGCACTCCCACTCTAAAAAATCATTAAAAAAAATGCACCGATATGCATGTTCTTACATCTTATTCACAATCTAACAGTTGAAGTCTTGATGAACTTAACATAACAATATTTGATAATTAGCATTATCAATAGTATCAGCAAGTTTTAGAAAAAGTTTTAGAGTTGCATCGTATACTATTAGGACATTTAAATACAAATTCAAACCGTTCTCTTGATACTTGAGTATAACTAATACCTTAAGAATAGATCATTCAGAAAAATTATAAGAATAAGTCAAACGATGAATATAATCCATTCTAAACCTATGCTCAAACCTAGTGCAATATGTCCAAAATTTTGGATATTTCAAGCAATTAATTAATGTGGTGGGGTGGATAGATTACTATAATTTATAGACATCATAAATGATTTTGAAATACATATAATATATATATTGCATAGTGGGAAAAAAGAGGAAATTGGACAGCTGTAACATACGAACGAAGAATCATTCTCACTGGCTGCAATTTTAGAACAACAAAAACAATATACAGACAACAAAAGTCAATAAGGAAGGCTAAACCCAAAGCCTTTACCATTGCCCCATTGGGTACCAAAAACTCTTTCTTGCACTGCAAAGCCAACCCAGAAAACCCGAATCCAAATATATATCCACAAGCAAAATCTTGGGTCTTTTTAAAATTTTTTAATTTTCTTGAAATATCTGTTCATCATCACGCGCAAAGTCCACGTATAGACTGTATAAAAGTGATTGGTTTACCAAATTTTTTTGTTTGTTTCTTGTCTATTATTTGAAGATTCTGAGGCTGGTGGATCGGTGAGAGGAACCCATATCTTGATTTTGAGTTAGATGTTAATTCTTGGGGAGAAAAATCGATTCTTGGTTGCCTTTGAAGTCTACTCCATTCTTTTCTTGATGATCAAGCTGTTGTTTGTGTTTCACAGGTTTTTGAGGATTTTAAGGTTAGATGTTGATGATTAGTAGAGGAGGAGGCTGAGGTGGGGCTGAATTATATGGATAATCTGTGCTGTTTTGGTTCTGTAAGTCTTCATCACAATTATGAATTATCAGTGGTTTGTAATAGTAATTAGTTGTTTGGATGGAATTGGGAACTTTCAATTTTGGGGATTTAATTATGTGAGGTTTATCCTGCTTTGAATTTTGCAGGTTTAATTATGTGAGATTTTAAAGCTGAATTATCTGTCATATATGTTTCTGGGAGCAGAAAGTTTATGTTTTTTTTGGTTTCAGATAAGTTTATGTTTCTGACACTAGAGGATTATATACAGGGATATGAATATCCATACATTTCTGAACCCTTTTTTTCTTTATAGGACCAGAAAATATGAATCTTATCGATATAGTGTGATTATAAGGATTGAATTTTAGCATCTGTGAGTTCGTTTTTGTGTGGGTCGGGTGCGAAAGTACTTGAAAATATGCGGACGGGTTGTGGTTCGTGTGACGGGTAATCTCTTAACGGGTGTGGTTTTGCCGCTTTAGCTTGCAGGAGGACGGGCATCACATGGGTCGGGCAAGGGACGAAGCCATCACTCGACCGCCAAGTATGGGTTCAGCTTGGTTAAGGGGAAAGCGAGCCATCCGATGGAGGATTACCACGTTGCTAAGTTTGTTCAGATGCAAAGACACGAATTAGGGCTTTTCGCGATTTATGATGGGCATTTGGGAGATACGGTCCCGGCTTATTTACAAAAGCACTTACTTCCTAATATCTTGAAAGAGGTTAGTTATGGACGAAGAACGTAACGCTAGCTATGATGAGAATACGTTTTAGTTTTGTGTATGATGAATTAGTCGTTTTAATTGTGCTTTTGTTACCATGTCAAGAATGAGTTCTGGACGGATCCAAACCGAGCAATCTTGAAAGCGTACGAGAGAACGGATCAGGCGATTCTTTCGCACAACCCTGATCTAGGACGAGGTGGTTCAACTGCGGTCACTGCAATTCTAATAGATGGTCAGAAGCTGTGGGTAGCTAACGTCGGGGATTCACGAGCCGTGCTTTCGAGACGGGGACAGGCCATTCAGTTATCGGTTGATCACGAACCGAATAAGGAGCGGGGTAGCATTGAAAACAGGGGCGGTTTTGTCTCAAATATGCCAGGTGCTGTTACACATCTTGAACAAAATAAACTAAGGTCACTCAACTGGGTTATAATGCACATGGGCCAAACCACACTAAAAGATTGAATCCAACAAATTAGCTAATCTAACGCATGGCCTTATAAACCCATATGTTCTCTCTTATTTTATCAATGTGGGACTCTTAACACTTTTGTATATTTCAGGAGACGTTGCGAGAGTAAATGGTCAACTTGCTGTTTCTCGTGCCTTTGGAGATAAGAACTTGAAGTCGCACCTGCGATCTGATCCCGACGTTAGGAGTGCTGAAATTGACAGGGATACCGAGCTTCTCATCCTTGCTAGCGACGGCCTCTGGAAGGTAAATGACTATATTCTCCTTGCCTCAACCTTTACTCTCTCCATCGGGATATTTTCCTTAACTGTCTGGCTCGATCCAGGTAATGTCCAACCAAGATGCAGTTGATATCGTGAAGAACATCAAGGACCCGCAGAAGGCTGCCAAGCAATTAGCAATGGAAGCGTTGAACCTCGAAAGTAAAGACGATATCTCGTGCATTGTTGTCAAGTTTTAGTGGTGAAGCCATGATAATCGATCCCCCCGTGTGGAGTATATATTAAACGAGGACTATTTTAGAATGTTTCCGAGAATCCTCGAGCACAGTATGCTCGGGAATACATACATTATATTATATGCATATTTCTCCACCCCCCTTTTTCTGTAATATTCAAATTCTTTTTACTCAGGTTGTGTGGTGGTTGTTTATTGATTTGTTGGACTTGTAGATTCACACACTATACTTAGTTGTGTAATTTGCCTTTTCTCAATCTTTCATAATACTTAGGTTGTCTGTTTGTCTGTCTCTCTCTGTGTTTTTAAGAGTTGTTGGATACCCAAATGATCTTTTAAAGAGTTGTTGGATATATTGTTCTAATTGTACCACTTCTGTATTATCTTTATACCTCTTATGAATTACTCCGATCACTATTATATATCTAAACACTCTTCTAAGGAGTTGTTGAATTGATCTAATTACACTGCTTCTATAGAAATATATACCTCTTGTTGAAGGAGTAGTAGATTATTCTAATTGCTCCAACTATAATATACATAAATGTTCTTCTAAAGAGTTGTTGGATATATTGTTCTAATTATGTTACTTTTTTATAATCTTTATACCATCCTATGAATTACTTAGATCACTATAATATATCTAAATTCGCTTCTAAGGACTAAGGAGTTGAATTGCTCCAATCACATTACTTCTATAAAACTTTATAACCCTTTTAGTGAAAGAGTAGTGGATCACTCCAATCACTTCGACTATAACATATTTAAACGCTCTATCGAAGAGTTGCTTTTGAATACTATTGACTCTATTACATTGTATTATCTGCTCATCTATGTATAGTACTCTTATATTATACAATAAACTTAAATGAGTGCATAAATTCATAATAAAGTCTGAATACAATTATCTGCTGAAAAATCTAAGTAATCATATAAATGCTTAAAATTGGATCCAAGTACAGTACAAGCAAATGATGAATTACTATTGAAGACCTTCCCGATGCTTGACAAGTGTACGACATCGTTTTGTATTCATTCTTGGCCACACATGTTCCGCCCCCTCCCCCCCCACCCCACCCCACCCCACCCCCAACTACTTTGTTTCTAGAGCATTATTCATGCATGAGTGGACGAACTTCCTTTCCTCTAGTACTTTGTTACATTAGGAATAATAAACCCTAGTTTAATTACATTAAGAGTAATGAGACCAATCCTTATTACATTATGAATAATAAGCTCAATCCTTATTAAACTCCTAATATAAGTTGTTTTGTAGTGTATATTCTTCTTGGGCTTCAATTCCTTGATCCAATTACTTTCTTGGGTCGATCCATGTGGCCCAGGCCCAAGATACCATCCATTAATACCAATATCTCTTGACAATTCCTAGAATCCAATATTGGTAGGGGTTGAGCTTCTATAGGAGCGTTATGTTGTGCAACCGTGTGCACCGTGCATGGTGTACACGGTTGCAAAAACGACGTCGTTTTGACGTTTGACTTAAAAAAAAATTAATAATTCAGAATTGCATAACTACACATCCATAACTTCATAACTATAAATCCAGAATTGCATAACTACACATCCATAACTTCATAACTATACATTCAAAATTGCATGCATAACTACACATCCATAACTTCATAGCTATACATTCAGAATTGCATAACTACACTTCCATAACTTCATAACTATACATTCAGAATGTGATATTATAACTTCATAACTATACATTCAGAATTGCATGCATAATTACACATCCATAACTTCATAACTATAAATACAGAATTGCATAACTACACATCCATAATTCCATAACTATAAATCCAGAATGTGAAATTATAAAATTATGAACATATGTTTATGTAACTAACGACAATCGGAAATGATTTTTTTTTTAATGTAAGTCAAACGACGCCGTTTTTGCATCCGTGTGCACCATGCATGGTGCACACGTATACACAACATAATTTGCCGCTTCTATATATGTAATGATCAGTAAACCACTGGACGCACGAAAAATAAACAACACTTAAAAGATCTTGTGTGGTAAATTCAATCGAAAGAATGTTGATAAAAATGAAACATGTGATGCTTTGACCTGCTTTTCTTCAAAAAAAAAAAACAAAAAAAAAACAAAAAACAAAAAAAACAAAAAACAAAAAAAAAAAAAAAAAAAAACAAAACAAAACAAAAAAAAACTTTGGTAATCCCAGCTTCGCTGGACTAACCTAAGTCGGTAAGTCCACAAGACCCCACCCCTAAATCTCGAATCGCGCAATCAGCCTACTAATCAGATCTTAGTCTTCATGTGCACCTTCCAGCATCCTTGGACTTTTATTCATATATGTTTTTAGTGAAATTCGAACCCTCACACTAACGCCTCCAATTATGACTTTTAAGTCAATCGACAAACCAACTACCCTAAGTCTCGAATTTCTCGGCCTTCTCTTATTGTGATGACGGGATCGGAGGTGGTGACACCATGCACATACCCAACATACATAATATAATTAACCAGATTTCATTTTTCTTAAACAAAAATTAAATATATATGTTTGATTACCTGTATTGGAGAACCAGATTCAGCCTTATCCAATTCTTCTGGCAGGTTTATTTAATTCATTCTTTATTATTGGATGGGCATCAAGAAATTTAAAAAGTGCACTTTTTGCTTTCTTGGTTCCTAGAATATAATCATTCTTATATATGCATGGAGTATGGTATCGTATGTGTACACAACATTAAAACAGACACACCAAACTTTATATATATGTTTATGCTAACAAAACATCAATAACAACGATAGTGACTAACATAGCAACGCCCGAAAGCCGCTATATAGTTCTGATTGAGACTTTATTAGAATAGTCTCATTTTACATAATATCCAGTACCATATATGAAAAAAAAAAAAAAAAAAAAAAAAAAAGAGACTATATTCTTCCTTTTGGAAATAATGTAACTTTTCCTGGGATATACCACCCACTCCATGCCTGGTTTCCCTATATAACAACCGGCTTAGAGTGAACCTTGAATGGCTCGGAAGAAGAGAGTTGGGGTTCCTGCAATATATCACAATTGAGTATATATCAATATCTATGAATGAATATTCGGGTTAGGTTCGAATTGAACACAAAAAAAAAAAAAAAAAAAAAAAAAAAAAAAAAAAAATCATAATAGGCTGAAAAATCTAGTAGAAAATGTTCGGATTTATAATCAGAAATCATATTTCCAACCAACTTTCTCACCATTTTTAGAATCAGAAAAATTGCTCATAATTATTTCCGACTACTAGTAAAAAGTAGACCAACCCACCTAAAAAGTTTGTCTAAGAATTTGGATGGCTAGGAAACCTAATAATTTAATCCTTTCACTCTTTTTTTGGACGACGAAAGAAGTCCGCAGCCACTACTCAAGAGTACGTGTGTACTAAAATCTGCTTCCGTTTAATAGCTTATGAACTACATGGCAAAGTAAATCATACTAAGAAGATCTTGTGCTACAGACTCAACCGCTTATGAACTACATGGCAAAGTAAATCGTACTAGTAAAATCTTGTGCTACAGACTCAACCTAGAGAAATTGCGTGTATATTTGGTAGTAAATTGGAATCACAAAGAGATTTTAGTTCACCTGTGAGAAACTTTTAGGAGCATTCCCACTACTAAGCCCAGCCTTCTGCACCTCAAGGACTCTGTTTCTTAAGGCAATGAGCAGCTGTCCGTACGTCAACCGCGGTTCACGCATCATAATTTGAACAAAGCTGTAAGTCAGTGCACCAGTTGAAATACCTGTCAAAGCCTGCATGCATGCATATATATATATATATATATATATATATATATATATATATATATATGTCAAACATAAACATGCATCCTTAATTAATTAGCTTGTCAGATTTAAGATTGGCCCGAGATCAGATGTGGGCCCCACACTCAGCCTGACAGAATATTTGAGAAAATGTAAATCGGAGGGTACATGGCTCAATGGCTCAGCAGACAGGGCCAAATGTCAGTGCAGACAAGGAATCTGTCCACACTGCTGCTGTCGAGATTTGAACCTTTTTTTTTTCGAAATACTGTCTACTGAACTAGTGAGTTAAGTCTGTGCAGACAATTTGGATCCAATATTGATGTGTAGGGAGGGAGATAACTAACCGAGGTGCCTAAACTGTTTTGATGGTCATCACAGGCGCTAATGGAGAGTGCTAGCCCTCCTTGTGTACCTTTATAAGGGCCATATGGGATGCGGTGGTCCTCCCATGAATAGTATCCTTCCCTGATTCACAACAATCACTGTCATATAACTATGTATATTTTACCAACAATTCATAGTTAAGTCACCCCACAACAGCATGGGAAGTTATATCCGCACTTGAACCCTTCTATATATATATATAGGAAAAAATTCTATATATATATAGGAAAAAATTCAAATGCGACGATGCCCTTAGGTGCAGCGGAATTTCATAATACATATTAACAATATGCACCAACAGTGTAAGGAAAACACACCACAATGAAATGCAAAGAAATACTAAAAAATACACAACAGACTCGAAAAAATATACCATATAACTCACCACAGGTATATTTCCTAACACTGTATGGTGTTTTTACTCACACTTAATGGTGTGTTTTTTGTGATGCATACTTAATTTGTGTGTGTTTTTGTGGTGCATTTTCCTAACATTGATGGTGTATATTTATTGAATCACTATTGGAAATTATAGAATTTCCGAACACCGATCTTATATCAAGTCAAAAGTAAAAAGTGATCGAAAATAGCAACAAATGTTTTTTCGGATACCAAAAGTGGTCGGAACAAGACTTTCAATTTGATTTAATTAAGATCATTTTCGGGTGGTCGGAAATTTCATAATTTCCAGCAGTGAACTATTAGTGACACCGCACCTAAGGACATCGCCACACAACCTTACTATATATATATATATATATATATATATATATATATATATATATATATATATATAGAGAGAGAGAGAGAGAGAGAGAGAGAGAGAGTGAGCTGAGCTAGCTACCTGTTCATTCTGCAGACATGAGAGAGATCAAGAAAAGTGCCACTGAAGCAAGTGTCAATAATGGCATGAAGCACAGCCCCAGGAGGGAGTGGCCTTACAATTGTTTCATTGATTTCGTCGTCCAGAATCTTCCCCTCAGTCTCGAAGTCAAGGGGGCACAGTGCTTCATCGTGGCCGTCCACTTCGTTGATTGTGAGCTCGCGGATTTGGGAGCCATGGCCGGAGTAGTAAAACACGACGGAATCTCC